CATACCTCTGTTTCATCTCCCATTATGAGACTCTACTGTTTGCTGGCTGTTCCTGTAGTAAGGATATAAACTATAAACACGACTTTTAATGGTAGAGCCTCTTATATACGACTACTTCAGCCGTTACAGAAAGTAAGATGTTTTCCTCAAGGTACTTACACTAGTCACCCAATAACAATGAAACCACGGACGGGTGACATTTCTAAAATTGATAAACTTGTTCAAATACAATGTAAAAATGCTGGAACATAACAACTGAGCTCATAGCATTGAGACAGGGTCCAAACATTAAAGTTATAAACTGATCCCCATGTCACTGAGTGAAATAAGGGTTTGATCCCCTACAACCCAACAAGAATTCTGGCTGCCACAGATGTGTTTTGTGCCCATGTGGCACATAGACTGCAATCGATCAATCATAAAGCACTGATTCTATCCACAGAATCAGTTTCTTCTATTCTAACCTTTCCACCATCATGGACAAGACCAAAGAGCTGTCAAAACATGTCATGGACATGATTGTAAACCTGCACAAGGCTGGAATGGGCTACAAGATCATCAGGAAGAAGCTCGGTGAGAAGGTCGTGTGATTATTCAGAAATGGAAGAAATATAAAATGACCATCAATCGGCCTTGTTCCAGAGCATCATGCACGATCTTGACTCAAGGGGTTAAAATGATCATGAGAAAGATGGAGGAATTTTACAAAATTACACAGGAGGAGCTTGTTAATGATCTGAAGGCACCTGAGACCACAGTCACCAGAAACACCACTGGTAACACACTACGCTGTATCGAAATCTTACAACACTTGTTTAAGTGCTTTCACAGTCGAGCTGAAAAGGGTAAACACTAACTAGCCCACTGGCTGGGCTGAATGTGCTGCTCTACTGGGCTGCCCAGGTCTGGTGTATATGACGGTTAAATCTCCCACGAGGCCTTTTTTGTACCTGTGAGGTGAATCTATTAGGTCACTGTGACTCTCACCTACACCAGGGGTGTCAAACTCAAATACACAGTGGGCCAAAATTCAAAACTGGAACAAAGTCGCGGGCTAACGTTAATATTTATTGAAAAAGAAATCTTCCTCCAGATTTAAGAATGAATCTCTTCTTATGGACTCAAACAAGTTTTGCTGAAAAACTGAATATGGAACAAGCAAAGCTTAATACTAAACAATATATATATTAGCTGTATAATACCAGTAGGCCAGCTCTAATAATAATTTGGTATGGCTTCGCGAGAGTTTGACACCTATGACCTACACCATACCTACAGTTTGTTAGTATGGTCACAACAAGTGAGAACAAAGAATACAAAGAAAACAAACTGGAAGTGTGGGTTGGCAATAAAAGTAATCAAGAATAGTATTCCAAAGTAAGGGCAACTTTGGAATTCATCATTATTTTATACCCTATTAATGTGTAGATTTGTGCACCATTACAGCTCATACTACCCTCTTCTGCCTTTGAGAGGTTGCTATTCTCATCACCTGACCAAAAAAACCTCTGAGTCATTCCTCCGTCCTCTGACAAGCTGGATTACCAGCCCTGATTACTTTCATACTTACTCAGTTACTACTTTAAAAACACCTTTGTGCTGATTCAAAAATCCTTTCCTGTCACATTCTTTTTCCTCCTGAAATTATTATTCTGAGAATTAACACTGGTGTTATTCACTCTCAGTCTGGCTCAATCTGCTGCTGCTTATGGATGAATGAGCCTCAAATGAGAGGTTATTCTTTCCACACTTTCTGTGTGTGTGTGTGTGTGTGTGTGTGTGTGTGTGTGTGTGTGTTAATTATTTCAGCTCATGTAGCCACAGCTTAATGGAATAACTTGCCAAATCAAAGCAGATTACGCTTGCGAATCCATGTGATATCAGATCGTGAATTCAATTTGAGGTGTGTCACAGTGTGTGATAATTGTATTTTCTCATTTCTTTTAAATTACATTTGATTGTGATTTCATAAACAGCAAGAGGGACAACTAGGACTGTTTGCTGCAGGAAGAAACATATATCATTTATGTAGATCTGGGATGTCCAAACAGAAAATTAAAACTTAAGACACAAGAGCTTCTGACAAATTTTACACCTGTTAGAAAGAGGAAAACATAAAACGAATCACCAAACTTACATTTACAGGAAATGCTCGATCAAAGTGTAAAACAAGTGATTGTAGCTTTACAGAGGAATATGGTTTCTTGGCCTGGAGCTCTCACTAAATTAACAGCAAGAATTACTTATAGATGGCATAGAAAAGATGGACATCCCCGCCACGATGTCATCCGTTGGTTTGCAGTGAATATACTTAAATGAGAATCTGGGGTGCAAGGTTATCAGTTAACTCTAACATGTTGGGTCAGCAGACTGAATCTGTATGGGTACAGTCATAAAGGAAAGTGAATCAGAAGCCTGTAGAACCACCTTTAGAAGCAACAACTTTAAAACATCATTTTATCAATCTCTTACCTGGAGGAATTTTGTCCCACTCTTCTTAATTATACTTCAGTTCATTGAGGTTTGCAGATGTTTGTTTTTGCACAGCTCTCTTACACACTACAGCAGGTCAGTCAGACTCAGGTTTGGACTTTGGCCGGTGTTCTGACAAACCATCCTACTTTGGCAAAACGTCCTACCGTAAGTAGTTTATGCACATTTCTGCTGTCACAGAGTAACTCCAGCACCAAATTAAGTAGGTATGACGGTTTGCCACTTAACTTTGCCCATCAGAGTATGCTTGTAGCTCATATGCATACAGCCAGGATGGTTTGCCACTTCATTTTACCTGTTAAAGTATGCTTGTAGGTAACATTCACAAAGGTAGCATGGTTTGGCACTTAATTTTACCCGTCAGAGTATGTGTATAGCTGTTATTAACAAAGGTAGGATGATTTGCCACTGGATTTTAACTGTTAAAGTATGCTTCTAGCTCAGATTAACAAAAGTAGGACGATTTGCCACAAAATTGTAGCAGTTTAAGTATCCTTGTAGGTGACATTCACAAAGGTAGGTTGGTTTGGCAGTTAATTTTACCGGTCAGAGTATTTTTCTAGCTAATATTCACAAAGGTAGGACAATTTGCCACTGAATTTCGTGTTGTGCGCATGCGCAGAAACAACGGGTAGGATGGATTCCCAGAACACCGGGCCATTGCAGCGCGTTGATTCTTTTCCTTTTCAGACATCTTGTTGCTGATTCGCTGATGGGCTTGGGATCATTGTCTTGTTGCATGACCCAGTTGGTGCCAGGCTTCAGCTGTCAGACAGGTTTGGTATTGTACTGATACAAACTCAAATCATCACACCTCCACCGCCGTGCTTGATAGTTGGTACAAGGTG